ACCTCCCTGCTCCCCACCCCTCCCCGGCTTTCCCTCCGCTGTCACCAGGGCCTGCCCACCTGGCCCACGGCAGGCACCCTCTCCAGGCTTTGCCAGCCAAGAACCCAGTGTGGGAGCACTCAGCCCGGGCGGTGGGGATCGGGTCCCCGAAGGGGACAGACTGCGTGGGAGACAGCTGCCTTTTGAGGTTCATGTGCGACATGAGGGAAGGAGACAGGATGTGGACTCTGAGCTCTCCTACTGTGTCACAAGATGATGGGAGGGTTCACATCCTGTGGCTCACGAAGGGTGTTACTTGACCACCCACCTGGGGCATCTGCTGCTCGGCCACCCTTAAGGGTCCTGTGGCTGCTTGTGAGGTGGGGCCTGGGGCCTGCCCTCAGATGACTAGAAGCAAAAGGACAAAGGTGTCACATGTCCTAGACATTCTGCTGCCTTTTCCCAAACCAACAGGCACAGCAGAGGCCTGGCAGCCCTGCGAGCGCCCTGTCACGCACAGCTTCAGCGCCAGTCACTCTGGCTTCCTCCCTGGTGTTCCGGTCCCCCGCTTTGTTCTGTCTTAAAGGTTGGGGAAGGGAGCACAGAATTAACTGGGTGTCCAGAAGATTTCCACTGTCACTGAGACCCAGAAAATTAACTCCACCACAGCAAGTTAGTAGGGAAGTCTGAGACTGGACCCCAGGTCCCGCCTGTGCCCGCGGCCCGCCCGCTTTGTGGCGTGGTTCTGCTCACTCCTCAGCCTGGACTAGGGGCCTTAGCTGTCACGGCAGCCCGGCCTCACCCCAAGTCACAAAACCTAGCCCTGTGCAGATGGACATGCCTCTCCCGGGGCGAGACTTTCTTAGGACGACTTCTCGAAGTCCTTTCGCTCTATCGTCCCCTGACAATCCACCCACAAAGGCCCATGACACTAGGTTCTTTTTCGGGGGGTGGGGTGAGGAAAAACCCCTTGCATAAGAAAGCTGGACACTGAATTTTGTTGTATAGGTATATTGTATATATGCTGATGCAATCAGAGGAAAAACAGTGCAAATACAATTACAATTCATAATAATACTTGGTTTCGATGCCCCCGGGAACTGCCCCATTCCTCGGCTACCTCCCAACCCCCAGCTCGTCCCCACAGCATCAACCTAAGGCTGGGGGGCGGG